GAAAAGTCTATCGTCGGTGGTTGGCGCCACCTGCTGCCACTGCATGACCAGGTCCATGGCGCTAACATTCGTATCCAAAGAATTCTCAACGCGAAAAACGGTAACCAATGGGGGCACGGGAACTAGTTTAAGAGTGAACGACACTATGACACCAAAACTGCCTCCTCCACCTCCTCTTATAGCCCAGAAAAGATCCTCCCCCATGGATTTTCTGTTTAGAAGATTTCCTTTAACATCAACAATTTGGGCATCGATGACATTGTCGACAGATAAACCAAATTTTCTCAACATGTTACCGTACCCTCCTCCGCTGATGTGGCCACCAACACCGACAGTGGTACACACCGATGCGGGGAAGCCATGAACTTTACTCTTTTCCCAAATCCTATAATAAACCTGCCCGATGGTTGCACCAGCTTGGGCCACAGCAACTTCGTTTTTTACGTCGACGGTGATTGTGCTAAGGTTGAACATGTCGAGGACGATGAAGGGGTCATCGGAGGTGTACGAGAGACCGTCGTAATCATGGCCTCCGCTGCGGACTTTGATTTGAACGTTGGCGGTTTTGGCGCATACTACCGCGCCCTGCACGTGCGGTTCTGCGAGGGGAGTGACGATGAGCAACGGTTTCTGCGTGGTGGAGCTGTTCAAAGCCGCGTTGCGAATGTGGTTTTGGAGGACGGTGGTGAAGGAGGGGTTGGTTGGAGCGATGACTATGTTGGAGAGTGGTGTTGTAGAGTTTGCATGTTGTGTGAGGCACTGAAGGAAAGTGTTGGGGAAATCTGGTGCCGGTGGTCGTGCCGACAACGACGTTGAGACAATTAGAAGAAAGAAAGCGACACAAAGATGAGGTAAACAAGGTTTTGCCATTGTTGTGAATCTGATGTTACTGTTGGAGGAGCGTGTGATATATATATATAACGTATGACTTTTATATTATATTTAGTAAATGATTATAATTCATTCATTTATTTAAGTTTAGTTGATGGTAACCTTTCATAATCACTACCTTGCAACATGCAAGGTGGATCAGACGAGTGCCTTATGCCTCTAATTTCTCGAATGTATACTTTATAAAGGTGTTAATTAAATCCTCAACGTATAAGGCCTCAAAGTAGAAAGCCTATAATCATCCATTAAATTAGATTTTTGTATCTATTGGTTAATTTGTTTTACGTCTCTTTTCCATTAAGTTATTATACTTGGTATCTGAACAATTGAAACGTAAAGTTAATTTTAAAACTTTGTGCATCTTATTAATGTTGAGAGGAAAAAAAGTCCTGCAAATATGATATTTTACTACAAATTCTTTTAATCATTTTATTTTTTTATCTCTTTTTTAAATTATTTTTATATTTTTTTGAAAACTTGAAGTGATTTTTTAGGTAATTATATTATTACGAAGTATCAATTAATTTTTTCAATAATTAATGTGTATTAAAAAATTTAGCCAATCATTTTTGATAGAATCTTTCTCTAAAATTAATCTCAAATTGATGTTGTGGATAATATCAACACATAATAATAATAATAATAATAATAATAATAATAATAATAATAATAATAATTATTATTATTATTATTATTTTTATTTATTTTGTAATACTTTTGATTTATATTGTTATTATAGAATGTCAAATATAGAAAGTATGAATTTAATTTTAAAAAATTGAAGAAAAATATAGAAAAGTAGAAGAGTTAATTCAATCTCAAAAAATTATTTTCTTTTCTTCCAAATGCATGATTGTTTATAGAATTTTATTAGTATAACTATTGTTAATGCTGAAAGAAGTTTTTCAAAATTAAAAATTATTAAAATTTTACTTAAGATTAATAGTTTTAAGATAGATCGAAAGGATTGACAATCTTATCTATTAAAAATGAAATGACAAAATTACTTATAAAACACTAATAAATGATTTTGTAATTCAAAAAATTAGAAAATTAATATAAAAATTAATAACAAATAAGACGATACAAATATGATTAAATAAGTGAAACACAACTTAATCTAGCTTTTTCATTGCCATGTTAGACAAATAGCCTAATTTTTCAACCTTTTATAAGCATCTTACCAATTTTCCTTTTAAAAATATTTTCATTCAATTCATTTTTATATTTTATTTTCAACTAATCAATGTAATATCAACGAATAGGATTATTAGTATATGAGATTTGTTAGGATTTTTAAATTTATTGTAAGTTTATACATATGTATCATTTTCTATAAATTTTAATCACAATTTACTACCATCAATTTTAATTTTAATTTATTTACAAGATCCAAAAAAATTTTTATATTTTTCAAAAAATATTACCAACAGTGGTATCAAAAGATTGCTTCCTACTAAGAAATTATGTTTTTATTGAGCACTAAAAATAGTGAGATTGAGTGCAAACACTAAATTGAATATTTTTTTTTCCAAATGGTGCAAACATGTCTACCTCCATCAATTCGCTTGCAATTCTAATGTTTAATGGTGAAAATTACCATTTTTGGACCATCAAGATAAAATTTGTTTTAAGGTCTTAAGGTTTATGAAACATTGTAATCTCTAAATTGACTCGATCATCCAGCATTGAGAGAAAATCCAACTATTAGAGCTTATGAGGAGGAGAATTTGAATAAAGATAGAGTCATCACTTGCATATCATAATTTTATTAAAATCATGGACTTGGAAACGCCTAAATAGGTGTTGAACAAGATCCAAGATGAATTTGAAAGTAGTAGCAATTCTGAAAGTAGTAGATTTGAATTGATGAAAATGATAATGAATCTATCAAAGACTATTCTGATAGGTTAATAGAAGTTATGAACCAATTGCAACTTCTTGATAAAAACATCATTTACAGATCAGAAGGTTATCGATAAATTAAGACATGGTTTTGGTGCCTGAAAGATTTGAAACTGAAATCTCTATAATTGAAGAGTCTTATGATTTGTAAACTCTCATAATTATTGAATTGACCAGCTTCATGCACAAAAACAAAGAGTTTCAATGAGAAGTGATGAAGCAAGGTATTGAATGTGCCTTTCGAGCAAAACACAATGGAAGGGATTTTAGAAAGTCACTATCTTTCAATAACAACAAAGGGAAAGTTGAAGGTTCTTTGAGAAAATGATTTTTTTTGCCTTATTCTCATTGCCAAAGAACCAACCATGATGAAAAAGATTGTTGGTTTAAAGATAAATCTCTTTTTCATTGTGATTTTTGCAATAAAATTAAAGTGGTCACATTGAAAAGTATTACAAATTAACAAAGAATTAGCTAGAGCAGCAACAAGAAAGAAATAGACAAATGTGATTGAAGAAAAACATGATGAAGATAAGTATTTATTTATGGTATCTCAAGAACTTAATTCACATTAATTGAATACTTGACTGATTCACAGTGGCTGCTCTCTAGCCACATGACTAAATGTTTGTCATATTTTTATCTCCATTGACAAATCAATTGAATCAAAATTCAATATGAAAAATGGTGAAATTGTGTAAGAAGGAAAATGAACGATTTCTATATATATCAACCCAAAAAAGATATGATAATTGCCAAAGATGTTCTTTACAGTCTAGAATTAGATAAAAAAAATTCTTAGTATTCAACAAATGCTAAGAAATGAATATGGAGTCTCTTTTAAAGAGAATTATTGTTTTACCATGAATGAATGGATTACAAATTGCAAAGATTGAGATAAAAAAACAAATTTTATTTAAAATTTGATTTAGTTGAAGATCGCAATTTTATTGCTAAAATTGATGAAAGTAATGTTTAACATCGAAGATTTGGTCACATTTTTTACAAGATGTATTTGATATGACAAATCTCAACAAATGGTATTCAAAGACAAGAGGAGGAGTTAAATTGACTAACTATAATGGTAGTGATTTAGATCTAGAAATTGACGTGCAATAACTTACTGACATGGAGCGATGGAGTTTCCGAAATCAAGTTTGAAGTTCATGAAACTATACTCAAGGAGTGTTAGATTTATGTGATTTTCCTTAATTTAAATTTTAAATCATCTACTTCTATATATTAAATATGAATTTTTATATATTTATGTACATTAATTTTAAATATAACATATATATATATATATATATATATATTCAAACACTATATCTATTTATATATATAATCCATTATAAATATTAATATTATCTAAAAAATATTAATTTAGATAAAATATTTGTTATTGTTACAATTTGATCTCAAAATATTCTATAGTACCCACTATAATTGAGGGGTATCGAAACAGTCCAAATTTTTTTCTTTATTTTTATTTTTTAGTTATTTGATTTTGTTTTTTATCTTAATTTGGTGTTTTTAATAATTTATCTTTATAAAATTTTTCTATATCTTTATATTATTTTATATATTTTTTAATGTTTTATCTTATTGCAGCATCTATTATAATTAAATAGTTTAATATTAATATTTTGTTAATACTTTTTAGTCTTTCTTTGGTTTTAATTTTTTTAAAATTTGTAGTATTAATTAGTTTTTCAATTGTATTATTTATTATTTTTCTTTTTTATTTTAATATTTTTATAATATTATTACAATCTTTTATTCTTAATTTTTGTAATTTTGTCAAATATAAAGAAAATTTGTTATGAAAATTGATCTTTTGATTACTTTTTTATGAATTAGTTTTTTTATTAATTTATGTTATACTAATTTTTAATTTGAAATTTCAGTTATTTAAAATTTATTTTTTAAACTTATTCGTCCACATAATTTGAAATATCAAAACTCCTTGATTTTTACGGTTCAGTAATAACTCCATTTTATTTTTTATATTTTACTTTTAGTTAACCAATGTAATCTATTTGTTAATAAAACTTATTAGAAATTTTAAATTAGTTATAAATTTATACATAGGCATCACTTCTATGAATTTTAATAATAATTTATTATATTTAATTTTGTTTTTTTTATGAATTTTAATAACAATTTATTATCTTTAATATTATTTTTAATTTGTGTGTAAGATACAATTTTCCAAAATATTTTCAACAGAAACAGGCTACTTAAATCACTGATCCACACTAGACCCCAACATTAAGCAATAAAATTCTCTACCATTCCCTATGCTTTGCTCGGACGTACAGGAATACTTTGTTCATTCCTGAAAAAGTTTTGAGGATCAACCGCTGTCTTAACCTTGACAAGCCTCTCAAAGTTGCCATTGAAGTACTTGCTTCCATAAACCTCCCCTTCTTGAAAGCTATTCTTACCAAAGCTATTGACTCCAATATCGAGGTCCCTATAATTCAAGAACGCGCTTCTGGGATTCTGGGACACAAAAGGTGTCATGTAACTGTACAGCGTCCTTGTCTGATTGATGAAATTTTGAGCCGCAGCAGGTGATGGATCATCCCATGTCACAGAGTACTGCATTTTAAAGAGGTTCCCCTTACGGTGAGGAAACGGCGTCGCATCGGAAGGAATCTCAGCCATTTTCCCTCCATATGGATTGAAAACAAGCCCCGTTTTCCCCAACTGAATCATTGTCTTCCACAACCCCTCCAACCCAGCTCTGGAAATAGGTTTCTGAACGTAATCAGATTTTCTTTTAAGAAAACGAGCAGAGTTTGTATCCCGATTCAAAAGGATCTCAGGTTTGGCACCACCCGCAAGATTTTTATCGTCATCCCACCAAAGAACGGATTCAATCCAACTCACTTCAATGCAATTCTCCTTCTTTAACCCAAGGAGAGGAAACTGCTTCCCCAAAATGGACACAACCTCATTAGCCCCGCCGAGGAACAACGCCACAACCGAGGCCCTAATGGTTTTCCCTCCCTTCACAACCATGGAAGTCACGGGCTGCAACAAGAGCCTCATGAAAAGCCTGTCATCAGTGGTTGGTGCCACCTGCTGCCACTGCACGACAAGGTCAGTGGCAGTGACATTCGTTTCCAAAGTCTTCTCAACGCGAAAAACGGTAACCGTTTGAGGCACGGGAACTAGTTTAATAGTATACGACAATACGACACCAAAACTGGCTCCTCCACCTCCTCTAATAGCCCAGAAAAGATCCTCCCCCATGGATTTTCTGTTTAGAAGATTTCCTTTAACATCAACAAATTGGGCATCGATGACATTGTCAACAGATAAGCCATATTTTCTCAACATGTTACCGTACCCTCCACCGCTGACGGTTCCTCCAAAACCAACAGTGGGACACACTCCTCCGGGGAAGCCATGAACTTTGCTGTTCTGCCAGACTTTATAATAAATCTCTCCCAGCGTGGCTCCAACTTGGACCGTGGCAACCTCGTTTTTTAGGTCGACGGTGATTGCGCGAAGGTTGAACATGTCGAGGATGATGAAGGGTTCTTCGGCGATGTAGGAGATACCCTCGTAATCATGGCCTCCGCTTCGGATTTTGAGTGGAACGTTGACGCTTTTGGCGCATATTACCGCGCCCTGGACGTGCGATTCTGTGAGGGGAGTGACGATGAGTAAGGGTTTCCGCGTGGAGGAGGTGTTGAAACGCGCGTTTCGGATGTAGTTTTGGAGGACGGAGGGGAAACTGGGGTTGGTCTGATCGAAGACTATGTTGGAGAGTTGCGTTGAAGAGTTTGTGTGTTGTCCGAGGCACCGAAGGAAAGTGGTGTAGAGTGAAGAAGCTGGTGGCCCTGATGGTGCCGACAACGAAGTTGAGACAGTTAGAAGAAGAAAAGCGGCAGAGAGATATGCAAAACAAGGTTTTGCCATTGTGAATATGATGTTTCTGTTGGAGGTGATTGCGGTTTAATTTATAGATAAGGATGAATAAGTTGCATGCTATGGAAAGGGTACGTTATTGAATACTGAATACTGATGGTGAATCACTTATATTCTTTGACTTTTTTAACATTAAACCATTGACTTTTTTGAAGTCTTAAATCTTAAATATAATAATAAATCCGGGTGAATGTCCTAAAATCTGAAAAAATCAATGTGAAGTTTATAAATAGAATTTTGACCGATCATATCAAAATCTCGCTTTTCTTCTCTCTTTTAAACTAAGAATTTTTTTTTTGTAATGCTTTCAACCAACACTACTAGAAAAGTGTCATTTTCTTGCAAATTTTCCTGCAAAAAAATATTTGCAAATTTTTTTTGCGAATTTTCTTGCAAATAAATATTTGCAGAAATTTTTTGCGAATTTTCCTGCAAAATAATATTTGCAGAAATTTTTTGCGAATTTATTTGCAAAAAATAATTTACAGATATTTTTTACAAATTTTGCTATAATTTTAATAATCATCGAAATTTTTTTCCATGGTAAAAATTTGCAGAAAATATTGTAAGAATTTTATTTTGTTTCTTGTAGATTTTCTTGCAAAAATAAATTTGCAAGTAATGTTTACTAAATGGTAGAAAAAATTTGCAGGTAACTTTTCCTGCGAATTTTCCTGCAAATTTTAATCCACAGGAAAAATAAAAAAAATATATTTAAATTTTATAAGTTTAATATTTAAAAAAACTTCAAGTCCCACATCGATTGAAAATAAAGCAATTAAAGAGTATATAAGTTGGGGCAACACTTACCATACAAGTTGATTTATATGGTTGAGTATTACGCTTATAATCTATAATCTTAGAATTTGAAAGATTATGTATCACATGTTAGAGGCATGGAAACAAATGCTTCGGATGAATTCATTGTGAGCATTTGAAAGTTGAAAAATTATTGATAGAATTTATAGTAATTTCTTTAATTTTTTTCGTAAAAAATATTCCTGCAAAGTTTCTTGCGAAAAAATTCGCAGGAAACTTTCCTACGAATTTTCTTGTGAATTTTTTTTTGTAGGAAAATTTTTTGAAGGAAAGTTTTCTACGAATTTTTTTCGCAATAAATTTCGCAAGAAAATTTCTTGCGAATTTTAAAATTCGCAAAAAAATATTATCCACGAAGGTATTACCTGCAGATAAAATTTCGCAAAAAAATTTGCAGGAACAATATTTCCTGCGAATTTTTATGAAAAATTCATAGAAAAAATCGCATGTAATAAGAGAAATTCTAGTTGTGCAAATTCAATATTAAACTTTATTTCTTTATAGACATTTTTTTAAACACAAATATTTAAGTGGGTTGAGTCTTGGGAATTCATTAAGGACAAGAATTAAACTCTGTTTTATTGGAATATGAGTCTATTTCTTGTCAATGGGAAAAATCTTTGTTGACTATTTATTTTTAGATATGATTATTCGTAAAAGTTGACAATTATAAATTAATTTATCATCATGAAGTGTTGCTTCTATGTATAGATTAATTATTATTTAATTACTTTTTTAAGTGTTATTTAATTACTTTGGACCAAAAATTTATTAAAATGAAGGCTGATATTATTTTTGCTCTTTATAATAGTCGTTAAGATTATTTTATACAAATCAAGAAATATAATAATTTTTTATTTTTTATAAAATAATGTTAATATTTTCTATGATACTTTCTTTAATTTTTTTTCATAATAAACGCATAATAATTGTTGTATGTAAATTAATAAAAAAATTACGTAAAATATAAGAGTATAGTTAATAAAACAATAATTAATGTTGTCTAAAAATTTAAAAATGACAAGTAAATAAAAATAATTCTTTAAAAAAAAGATAAAGAGGGAATAATAATGAACTTAGGTAACCAGGAGTTGGGCAGAAGTCGTTAATGTGTTATATTTAAGGTTGAATTGTTTGGACAATGTCCAAGTTTAATCCTGGACAGAAACAATCACTAGTCAGACTTTATTTATCTTTCAGTCGAATTAGATTAATCTAAAGTAAAATCTTAGAACATTAGTACAAAAATCTATGAACTTAGGTTCCTCAATTACCTAATCATATAATATCTAATTATATAACGGTAATTACTAATTACATAATAGGAGGAAAGGGAAAAAAATTACGATGTTATTTTTATAGAAATTGAAAACTTAATAATTAAAAAGACAACGTTTGATATTCAAGAAAAAAAGTGATTTACAAAAATAAAATTTAGGAAGATAATTATTATTTTTCTTTATTTGTGAGTTTGATATCAACTTCATTTTGACTTTTTTTTTTAAATAATGGACAAAACTAATGTTTTTAAAGAAAGTGAAACATTGAAATATAGTTTTGTGAATGTGTAATTTTGGTATTTTAATTTTTTTTATAGTAAATTTGGTCTCCCTAATTTTTAAAATTAAACAATATTAGTCTATTCATTAACATATGTCATCCAAAATCAAATAGAAAATATTGACATGTTTGTAAATGATTTTGTTTGAAAGTTATAGTCACATAAAAAAATAACTGTTGAAAATTTATAAAAAATGTAATGTTATTCTTTACATGAAAATCAACATAACTAAGTAACTGTTAAGTAATGTTATTTATAGACACATCAACATTTTTTGTTTAACGTTAGAAAATATGTTAGTAACCAAACCAATATTACTTAATTTTAAAAATTAAGAAGACTAAATTTTCAATAAAAGAATTTTGAGACCAAAATTGCACATTCACAAAATTATAGATAAAAAAAGTGAATTTAAACCTTTTTTAATTTATGATAATAATATTAACTTCATTTAGGCTTAAAAAAATGGAAAAAACTAATGTTAATATAATGAAATAATAATAATAATAATAATAATAATAATAATAATAATAAAATAATAATAGGACGTAATAAAAAAATATAATATGTAACACCAAAAATTAAAATAAAATACAATTTTAAGGATTAATTCTTAATATTCGAAGTGCACATAAATTATTATAAAACTCTAAATTAATCAGTTCACATTAATTGATTCTGATATGCTTTACTTTTTCTTTTTTTTTAAAATAATCGATAACCAAATTAAGTCTTAGTCAAATTGATCGAATTGACCGGTGTGGTCAAATTTTTTAAACTACAGACAAATGGTAGGTAAATTTTTTTTATATTTAGTTTATATAAATAATCATTAATCAATGATATATTATGTTATAAATTTATTAAATTTCAGTCATATAATTAATAACATTATAACTTTTCAATAACTTTTAATAACTATTTTTGTTATTTGTTTGGGAAGTGATCTTAACTTCATTGACTACAAATAATTAACAAAAATTGACAAAAAAAAAAATACAATTGTGACATCATCTGCCCTCCACATTAATAACATACATGAATAATAATAAAATAATATGATTTTTTTTTTTAATAAAACCTCTATTATAAAATAGAAAGAGTTCACAACGCTTTCGTAAGTTGAGGATGACTCACGTTCGTTTTTCAAAACAACAAATTGATAAATAAACTTTAAAACATAAGTGATGTGAATAAAGAATTAATTGATAATTCAAGTGGCATCCAAGGCAATTAGAAAACTCCAAAGAACTAACAAGATTCCTAAGCAAATAAAATTAGTTTTAACGTAAGGCTTCAAAGGAACATAATGTTATATTTTATATATTTATTTATATAATTATTCTATATTTATTATTATTATTATTATGAATTAACGTTAACTAATAATTTATATTTATATGTTAATATTAATTATATTGTACATTATTATTAATTTATGGGTAATGCATATTGGGTTTCTGATGAATGGTCTGTGATGAGTTAGACTATTTAGTAGTTCGTTGAGAAATCTTTGATCTCTACTAGTAAGAATATAAAACTAGTATCCCATTAGTCAATTTATAGGAAGAAAAACATTTTCTGTCTTCTGCATTTTCACCTCTTACTAAGAAGAGAACAGTCTTCTTTCACGTTGTTCAAGACTGATAAGAATTGATCCTTCATTAATTTCGGGTACGCAATTCTTTCTAAACACTCGAATATACTATAATCTTATATCTTATATTGTTCATTGTTTGGTAATTACTATGATTTTTTAACAAATGAAACATAAATCACAACTCCAAATTTTTTATGTCACATCTTATCAAGGTACAACTTGAACACACACGTAAGGCTTCAAGCCCCATCATCAACATCATCATCCTAAATTCTTGTTAATCCTCACTTGTGAAACATACAACAGAGACAATAACCAACATAGAAAGGAAGTGAGATACATATCACTCTAACTACCGATGTAAGATAAAGTCAGGTAACCACACATAAATTATAGCAAATAACAAATCATACCAAGTACATATTCATCACAACATCAAGATATATAAATAATGAAATTAATGGCACTATAAGCTTAACTACAAATTTTCACAATTCATACACCCAATGTAATGAATATATGCATGTAGTGATAGTAAAAATCTTATTGTATGTTTCTAGAAGGCTCATAAAGTAGCCTAGGAAGACATGTCGGTGACTAACCCACCTAACACTCACACTAGGTGGAAGACACACCAAGGCACGTTGAGACAACGATATTGAGCTAGATACACCATGTGTAGTCAAAAGGCAGAACTAAGGCTTTCAAACCCAACTATTCCCAAAGTCGTGAATCTCCAAGCTATAGCGAGGATGACCTTCTCTTTTATTATATTCAATATCATATCACAAAACACTTTTATGTACATGATGCATGTCACCTAAGACGCAATGCAAGACTCACATCACATGTTCATATCATTCATGTTTTCGCAATATTCACAATGCATTGCATCATGGCTAAGCATGCATACCCGAACTTTTAATCCGGCTAAGCCATCAACTTAAACTTTACACCATGTAACCATCACATGGTTGACACATATTCAAAGTATAAGCACAATAATATAATACAAAATACTCTAATA